AGATGAATTTTCTACCGTAGCAGTTCAATTTGTGTCCAGTAGGTGTCGGTCGAACGCTCCCTCCACTAGTCCAATAACAGAACACAATTATTCTAGGAGAAAGTGGTCTATATTATGGTAAAATACCTGAATTTTAATATAACTTCCAAGTCCCAATTACTCTAATGGGTATCCAGTTCCGAAAGAATGAGTGATAATAAATCTAACCGCAACAGTATCAAATCCAAATATGGCTGTAGCAATATTAAATTTCAAATTTAAACAACATATGTACAGTTCAGAAGGAAACATAAAAACTTCAATATAAGTACAAAATATAGAAATAATAACAATATACAACGATAAAATCTCAAAATGGAATCAAATAGAGTACCAAAATATCAACAGAAAGAGTCAGTCATATCATAACACAAATATATATACATGGAGGGATTTTCCAAAAAACAAACCATTCAAAATAGATTCTACAGTGGACTTTGCCAATCTGATGGGAGACTTGAAAGCTTTGGTTAGAATGAACGACACTGGTTATGAATTCATTATGCGGCCTCATACACTGGGAGAAAGTGACAAAAACTGTGAGAGGTTTTTAAACCTATGTGCTTCAACAAACTTGTCATAGCCGACACCGTATTCTTAAACCTCCGCATACTTAAAGTGACATTGATTTCACTCGATCATACTTCACAGAATCAAATCGATCAGGTCTGCATCTGCCTGTATAGCTTCATATCCTCAGTTGATGGTAGCCCAAATGAAGCTGAAACTAAGGAAGCACTGGTCAAATGGCCTGAAAGCATCAAGGAAGTTTAATAAGGCCATTCTTCCGGATACTGGCAAACTCAACGAATTCGAGATAGTTCTCAGCAGTAATTTCTAAACCTTTGACGATCTGTCATGGAGAATAAATGTAAATGGATAAAGGAAGCCATCAGTTCAACATTTTTTGAAGATCTGGGACATGAAAAGCAACATCGCAAGGAATGGATCTCTGTGGGAACTGCGGATAAGATTCAAGAAAGGAAGAACAAGAAAGTAGAAATCAATTTCGGTAAAATACTGAAAATGACAAAACAGAGGCTGAATGCACAGAAGCAAACGACCAATTGAAGAGGAGCAACGAAGCTAATAAGCGAAAAATCGTAGAAAACCTAGCAATGGCAGCTGAAAAATATGCAAGAGAAGGAAAAATGAAGCAACTTTATTACACAACAAAAAGCTTGATGGAAAATATAGTAAACCAGAACGACCAGTGAATAGCAAGTAAGGTACGGTAATTGTTACGTCCAGTTTTTTGCTTTTTGATCCTTTGAAGCACGGTTGTCGATCTATTTGCAATTCACGATCCCAAATATTAAATAAGAACGAAACTCCAAACTAGATACCAAAGTTTATTGCCAATTTATAATGATCGACCAAAACGTGTTTATTACAAATAGACGACCAATGTCGTTCTAACAACAATAATTATAATAACTACAATTACCTTCTATTTTATGGGTTCTTGGAGCAAAAAACTGCAAACGAACAACCAAGAGAAACGGTAGTCCAAAATGGCGAAGAATAATAATTCAAACAAGTTCATAAGTTAAGTAAAACAAATGTACCCAAAAAACAGTGAAATTAATGATATTTATATGTGAAGGTTTTGATCAGCAAAATGTATTCGTTTCTCCCGTAACACTCCCGACCAAAAGAACCTTGGTTCTTTTCACCGACAAAAATAGATAACAACAATCCAAGTATGTGCATCACAAGCAATCAACAACAAACATTCAATGTAGATTTTACACCGGCCCACAAAATCCCTCTAAGCTAAACAAGCCCTTTCTAACACTTCAATTTACGGTTCACTCTCATCCCCTAATCCACACCGGAAGAACGAGCAGGACTTACAGCAGTACGCCTACCCGCCCCCCAACATGGATATAACCTATCAAACTAACTATGTACCTGTACCTTCGACATCAGGTCCTTGATTCCCTTATCTATCGTAGCATGACCTAACGGTAGTATAAGCCTTATCCAGTTAACCCACACGAACATGTACAACCCGTCGTAAAGCTGGTTGAATCCTCTTAGAGATTTACCTTCCAGCTCATGGGGATGAGTCGTTAATCCATCACCCATTGCTCCAAACAGAAGATACGATGAAGCCCGTGATGCTGACTTATCAACAGAAGTTATTGACCCATATATAATATGCAAGGGTGGGATCTCCAATTTTGACGTTTCCTCGTCTCCCGAAGACACTAGGTGGCATAACATAGGAACAATATCTAACTCTCCATCTCCTGATACTGAAGAGGTTTGATCAGCATTCGTCAACGTCGACAAATCATTTGTCACATCAGTGACATCCAGGTTATTACCATCGTCATTATGATTCGATTCTGTCAGACAAGTAGCGTCGTTTCTGGCTACACTAGCATCCGTAGAGTAAAACTCTTCCTTTGTTGTATAACTCATCTCGCTATATGAAAGAACAGCATTAGTGTCACAATTCGAAACCGATAAACTCACTTGTTGTTCTTCATGTTCCGTTTCAGAGACACAAGACATATGCACACCGATAGCATCGTTATCATGCAACACTGTAGACTGGCTGTTACCATCAGACGCTTCCTTCTCATCATCACTCGACTGACAGTCAACCGAAGTAGGAACACTTACAGTTACACAACCTTGTGTATCCTCAATCAACTTAACATTCGTGACAAGGTCCGATGACGTCAAAACACTAGGAGGCTCGTTCGATGAAGTTGATCGACTAATCACTATAAGTGGACTGCTGACACTTTCTGTCTCCTTATTATCGCTGTCACTACTAAGATTCTGATGGCTACTATTTCCATTGCTAGTCATAGCATCCGATAGAGAATGATGTTTAGGCTTCTTAATAATAGTAGCATCATGCTGTTTCCTAGGCTTCTTAGCCTTTACAGTACCGCCATCACTTATCCTAGAATCTACTCTAGGTCCAGTTATATAATTTACCCTAACTGAAGGGTTCCGAACATAGGCTTTATTCCGTCCAGACAATCCTGCCTTGGCCTTATTCATATTCACTGAACTCACTAACCTCTGTTTACTCGAATCCAAATAACCGTTCCAGGCTTTTCGAGCAGCTAAGAGGCTTTTATCATCACACACTTCGGATCCATCTTGATGCCTACACTTTTCACCTTTTTCTTTCTTTTCCATACTTAAAAAAGCCATCTTATCTGTTACACAAACCAGCTTCTTACTGGGATACGAATCAAGAGGTTTTACATCATCACGGTCACATACTCGGCCTTCAACAGCGTATACTTTCCTAATATAATCATAATACTTATTATTATTATTATTATTGACCAGTGAATAGCAAGTAAGGTACGGTAATCATCAGCACTGAAGCACTGAGAAACAGGCGGATATATCACCTTGAAGAAAAGTTGAATCGACCAGCCTAACTAAACCCACCCAACATCGAAGCAGCGACTACAGACCTCATAACTAATCTTGACCCATGAACAATGGAAGAGACTAGCACAGTCATCAAATAAATTGAGAGCGGCAAAGCATAAGGACGAGAAAACATTCCAACAGAGGCACTGAAAATAGACAAAACAGTAACTGTCGCGATAATCCACTCTGTTTTCAGCAAGATTTGAGATGAAGAACAAGTACAAGTGAACACAGTCTTATCCCTGATTCTGATTGAAGGACTAGCTTTTGGCTTAACTTTATAAGTTTGATAATTAGACGTGGATGTGATTTAACAACTGAGATGGTGATGTATCACCTGGTAAATCCCCTTGGAAGAGCATTTGGATTCTCTAACCACCTGACTTATTAGATAACGTCATTAAATGGTATATGGCTGTGTATCAGGGGACATAAACCAGAGTGGCGAACAGCCTGACCAACTGACGAGGGAGGACGAAGCATATATCTCCGTGTGGAATTCCTTCAGAGTTAATACTGTGTCTTGTAGAGTAATACTCCAGATGAGCGAACCACAAATCAGAACCATTACCGTAGAACTGTAGGAGCAGGGATTTTGTTGTAGCAGCTATGTTTATCGTGAAATGAGATAGGTCGTGCTTGAACTCCTGGTTTACTATCCGTATTGGATCTGAAATTATTTGGTGTGAAACAAACAGTTTGTAGGACAAATGCAACGTCACTGGTGTAAATGGATTTTCTACTCTAACAGTTCACTCCGTCTCGAATCGTGCAAGTTGATACGCGACCACCCCCAGTCCAGGAACAAAAACACGATAATTCTGGGAGAAAACGGTTCAAAATAATATTACATATTCGAGTTCAAATTACCGCGATGGGTATCCGTTTCTGGCAGAATAAGTGGAAAAGTTGATAGCCTTGTTGTGTTAGAAGTTTAAACGATCATAATCTATATAAATAGATAAAAAAAGACTTGTCAATTGTTGATCTCGTATTTACTCGGTTGTTGCCGGTGTTTCTGATTAAAGGAGACGTGTAACAAGCGGAGTGCGGTTCACAAACCTTCTTTCATTCAGCACATAATAATAGGAAGCATAATACCTACGCAACATAAGGGGGTTCATATGAGTGGTCACTGTGCTATTTTAATCCGAATAGAAGGTTATTAACTATCCCTGAGTAACCTGGCCTAGACTGCTGCACTAATGCAGACAAAAATCATTTTCTAAACGGTAATGACAGTATGTTAGAGACTCAATAGTACTAAAGCTACGTCGGCTGGAACAATATTAGTGACTAATAGTTATAGTTAGTTGAAAGTCTGTCAGGTCGAAGTCCTGCTTTCACTGACAAGGAAGAGTTGCTTCCTGGTCGATTCTGACAGACTGGTAGAGTTGCGTAAACCACTTCTTTTTGCTCTGGAAAACTTGAAACACTTTCTTTAAACACGGTTACAGATCATTAACTAAGTCAATTATTTGATCTTGTTGTTCGCTTCAGTTTTGAAAATATTTGAATGAATGATCATATGAAGAATACAAACAAATGGCCTTCCTTAGAAAATTAGCCTGTTCACTTATAGCCAGAATGTATGTCATTTCAAGAAAAGAGAGTTAAATCAATAAACCTGTACCTTCAATAAGTTGCAGTATTGTTTCAATTTGCACCCATTAATAAATGGCGGATTCTAGTGCGATGCTCTGCGACTATGATTCTTCACTGGTTAGTACGATTTTTACTATTACGCTTTATAATTGTGGTCCTAACAGCAGTCTTCGGATGATGGAAATGTTGAGGAGATACGGAGTTCAAAAAGCCCCATAATTTCCCAGGTAATACGCGTTCGAAATGCATAATAAAGTGTATATTATCAATCAGTACGAGTCGGTTTTTGACTACGGAATAGTGGGAAATATTTTTAGTATAAATGTGATTAGGAGTAGCTCATTTTTGGATTTTGCTTAGATTTAGGGTTTCATTGGACGTAAGTAGTAGAAGTATTAGGTCGTCTGATTCCTGTAATATTTCGATCATATCATGCAGAACAATGCAATACGTTAAACGTTATAAGGGTATTTAGAGTTCGTCCTGTATTCGTTCTAAAGTGTGTTGAGCTGCATCTTTTCATTCTAAGATAGATATAACTTGTTTACTGACGGGCGTAACATCTACGCTACTCAAAATCCCAATACTGATATATCAAAATTAACGACTACTCGTCGTGTCAATAGTGACGCTTAATTCCATGAAGTTTGTGCCATCCATGGCGACGGATCAGGTTTTTGAGGGCTCATTCTCTGGTCATAAGGGATGTTAACGTTTTTGGATCATTGGCGTCTACTTGGATTCTTTTTTCACGACTCAAATCGATTGCCAACAAGTTTCGAAATCGTGTTCGATACTTGTAGTATTTGTAGTACATTTAGCAATACACTACAACTTCTTTGCTTTTATAACTTCACTCATTGCTCACAGTGAAAAACATTACCTATGCCGTTCGGACCTTCAATGTTCAGTTCAGATGACTCTGGTGTCTGAATTCCGTTCTGCCAAGGCCTAATGGTGTCATAAGGACCACCGAAATTTGTAGTTGGTTAATTGGTGAGTCATTGAAATGGTGATTGTTTTCATAACAAATTTTGAAGTGTTTTTAATGTTTTGTGAATTTAGGTCTGTATGATAGCTTATCTCTTTTCTCAGGAGGAAAGAAACAATGTTGATACAGTGAAGAACAGGATTTCACCCACTGAAACAACAAGGAGCTCTTCTTTGGTCTCATCTTCATTGCCTGCTAGCTACATTATTGATAACAGACGCCGATCAAGTAGTCGTGAACATAGTTCTTCAAGGCGACGCCGAAAACGAAGTCGTGCCTCCAGGTACGTCGTTGCAATTTCTCACAAATGAAGTTTTTACTGATATAGTTTGGCGGGTTTAATAAACTCTCCACATGACTCATAGGTAGTTCGGGGAATCATTGTATCCATATAGTCTATTGTATGACCGGATGTATATACTCTTCGTAGCTTAATACATGACAAGTCACATAAAGCTTGGTGCTGCGCCTGTCGTTGGTTTTAGTAAGATTGATTTCACTCACGTAAAAAACATGTTTCGAGATAACTAAGAAGCAAATTGAAGTGATTTATCCTAATCAGATTTTCTCATTCAATTTCACCTGTTCACCTTAGTTTGTCAACAAAAGCATTACAGCTAAGAGAGGTCCTCTCAGTATGAGATACGCGTGCCATCTATTTTGTCTGTGCTGAACAGTTGCGAAAAATCGTTAGTCTTTGAGTTACTTGTGCATTCCTAGTAAAATCCTGCATATAAACTTTATTAGCTGTTCTATAACCAGTCAACAATATCGCTTTATTTGACTCCTAAATAGATTGACTAAAATTAAAGAAGGCGTATATCCGAATAAAAAAGAGTTCAAGCTTCATGAGTGTCAGTCAATTTTCTATCTCCAAAACCTATACATCGGTTACTCAGTCTGTCACCGCGCCATGTGCTTTGTGATTTTCCGATTTGAAACATTTGTCAGTTTTTCACGGATTTATCAATTCGGGTGACAACAAGATTCTACCTATGTTTAGGATTAGACAAACCTACTGCCTGAACTTGAGTCGCATAAATATAGAAAAAAGGTACACAGGGGAACTGAAATATTTATTCACTAATCTTGTGCTTTTCGCCCGTGAGAGTTGGGTTACCTCTTATTGATTGAAGATGTACTCTAAACATGTAAACGCAGGTATGATTGGTACGACTTATGAGACAGTAGGTCTCCCAATGACTGACTTGAGTTTCTGTCTTTTGATTTTTGTAGGCTTCATGCTTTTGTATTATCTGTTTTGTTTATTAATTCAGATATGATCGTGGGAGTCCAAGCGAACATGTGAGTTCCTCAAGGCGCAAACGTTCATCGCATCATTCAAAGCACAAACATTCATCCAGAAAGCATCATCATCGTGATTCTCACTACAGTGACCATAAACATCGTTACCGCCGAAAGCATCGACGTCGCAGTTCGACCTCATCTACGAGTTCATCTAGTGATACCAGCCGTGAGAGCAAACCAAGTAGACGTGGCAGCCATAATGGTAGAAATTCGACACAACTCACAAGTTTCAAGGATAATATTGTAAGTCTATTTTGTATTATTTTCAAAAAATCCTTACTTCTAAGGTCACTCCGCCTCAGTCAGTCAGTTGCAGTGTAGAACTACGTACGTATGTACATAAGTTCATGTTGCCATACCACATTAGCACAAAGACGCAGATGTCAAATCAAATCCCATAGTGATAAAGATAGAAGAGGTATTAATGGTAATGAAGAAGACTAGGGTTCGAAGATATTATTCAAGAAGTATGATTCAGTGAGAAAAGTTTAGAAAGTCAAAAGTAGAGGGGTTGAAGAATCCAGAAGATTAGGATTTGAGAGAGCTCAAAGAATGGATGCACTTGCGCCATTGCAAACGATTTTCAGCCATGTCGTTCAAAGTCTCTAACCATTGGTGACTTTCGTCTCGCGGACCCCAACCACGTAGTCTACATCTACCAACATGACTCAGTCCACTTGTCAGTTACTTCATGGATTTCTGCCATGTTTTGGTCTGACTGCCCTTAACTTTCCAACCTACTCCTACACTACAAAACAAAGCTCGTCGGGGCAGTCGGTGGTTAGCCATACGTAACACATGTCCCAACCACCTCAACTGATGAAGTTTCAGCATTTAATCTATTGATCTGCCATTCTTACCTAGCACCCGTGTCCTAATAACAGCGTTGCTCACTCGGGTGTCCCAGGATATACGAGCAATGCTTCGCAGACACCTATGATCGGAAACCAGTAACCTACGAATATCTTCTACTCTGACTGGCCATGTTTCACAGCCATATAAGAGAACGGAACGAACTGCTGCGCAGTACACCCGCCCTTTGGTCAGCAAACGGATATCACGCCTAAGCCATAAGTGACGTAGGTTGGCAAAAGCCAATCGAGCTTTCTGCATCCGCGCTGAGATTTCGTCAGTCACCAGGCCATCGGCACTGATGAGACTCCCAACTGTGTTCCAGGATCTGTCGTAGTGTGAGGATGTCTTTACAGCAACGTCCAGGTCGGAAACCAGCCTAATTTTCTCTAGTCTGCTCTTCACGAGCTCTAGTTAGACGTCTAAGTATAATCGAGGCTAGCAATTTAGAAACTATATTAGTTAAACTTATTCCCCTGTGATTGTCACAAGAGAACTTTTGTCCTTTCTTGTAGATTGTGACAATTAGCGACTGAGACCAGTCAGATGGGATTGTGTCCAGCTCCCAGATTCTATCTAGGATCTCGGTCAGTCTAACTGTTAATACTGGACCACCATCCTTAAACATCTCAGGGGTGAGCCTATCAGGACCTGCTGCTCTACTTCGCTCTAGATTTCCTATAGCTTTCTCAACTTCATGTAGACTGGGTGGACTTGAATCGATATTCCATTCAGGATGACTGGGGATCGTGGGTAACCGAAGTGTGGCTCGAGGCCAGTTGAACTGGTCCATAAAGTGTTCTGCCTATCGGTCCAGTCTCCTGAATTGAGAATGGATAATAAGACCATCCTTTTCCGAGATAGTCTCACTCACATTCGGGTTCCTAATACCGGTTTCTTTGATAAGGCGGAGAAGTTGTCTAGTGTTGCCTATCGCCGCTGCCTTTTCCATCGCTTTTGCTTTCGCCACCCACCACTGTTCACGGTCGTTACGTAGGCTATTTATAAGTCTGCTCCTAAGCTGACTACGCTCTTCATCATGTTCAGAGTCAGGTGGTTGTCTGAGCATGCTTGCAACAGACGGTCACCATTGTCTGTTCTCTGAGCCGCGACACCATAACATCCACCGAGGTGTCTTTCATTTTCACTTAGTCTACCTACTTGAGCATTAAAGTCACCAGCCATTATAGCTATATCAGAGCGCTTAACTTTTTGGAGGAGGTTCAAAAGCTTTCTGTAGAACTCATCTTTTACATCGTCTGGACTGCAGTCAGTGGAGGCGTAGGCTGATATGGCGAACAGGCAACGACGAGTATCCCTATCCTTTCGAATCCTTACTGTCCCGTTTAGTCGGACGGCGCACAAACGACTATCTACTGGGATCCAGTCAAGGAGAGATTGTTCTGCCCTACGACTCAATGCTATATCTACACCAGCGAGACCCCGGGAAGCAGCATCAGGGCTTCCAGATACACGAAGAGTAAATCGAGTTGCTCCTATATCTTGATATGGTGAGGTCAAGTGAATGATGCTACTCGGATCCTGTATGCGCGTTTCCGAGACGCAGCACACATCGATAGCACGAGATTCTAAAGTTCTAATTAATGATGCCTGTTGCCCTATTTGATACAATGTCCGTACATTAAATGCTGCAACATGTAGTTTAGAACGGGGTTTAAGGAGACCAGGAACGACGTTTCGTGAACTCGCATCGTTTGCATTAGCTGTGCACAGTGATAAATGAATGTGAGAAGAGTTAGTTGTGGAGATAAGAGAGGTATTAGGGGGTGTAGGAAGGATTTGATTTTGACCAATTTGATCTCGCATGCTGTTACGGGTATGAGGGCGGTTGTCATTTCCCGGCAGGCCCACACCGTGAAAGGTTGTTTCTTGAGGAACCTGAAAAGGAAGATAGATTAGTGTTGGTCTTGGAGACCTGGGTGCGTGACCGCAGAGCCCAAGGGACAACTGCTTGATGCCGGCCACGCACGGTCTTTCTATGAAAGGTTTTTTGAGTACTAGCTCCGCTCTTAAAGGCCCTTAATGGGCACCCTTACCGCCGGAGACGGAAATGCGTGAGGTAGGGTGAGGTGTGACACTTTTAGGGTCGACGTTTTCTAACCTTTCCTTCCTTGTGAGAAGGCAGCATCGCTGCAGATGCTGGTTGTCCGAGGGAAATACCTTACTGCTGTCATACCCCTCTGCAGTCAGCAGTACGATTTCGCCCTCAGACCTTGGGTAGCTGCTTTTAGTCTCATCGTTCTCCAATCGACCTGCCTGGCATGGTAGAACCTTCAGGAACATATGTTGCAGCCAATATAGCTCGGTTGGATCATCGCGATAGGCAAGCCCGGTCACCACGTCAAGTTAGCAGCTTCGGTCGGAGGTCACTCCGCCTACCTTACGTTAAAACCTGATGAACTGCATTTCCCTAATCATTTGCACTATTGATTCCTAGTACATTTATTCTGTGCTGTGAAGATTTTGAATCAAAGTGAATTGATATGTATTTGCCAGCGAAAAGGCAAGAGTGAAACAGAAAGTCTATTTAGCTACCAAGTAGTATGTAAAATACTCGTCTAATATATATATATATATATATATATATATATATATATATATATATATATTTCCACCTGCTTAGAAAATGCATTCATTTCTTGACCTTGATATGTACGCGTTCTTTCGGACATTTTATACTGTTAATCAAATGGCCTCATTAGGTCACTTCTAATTGGCTTACTATATTATTCGTTGAATGCGCTTCATAATCTGTTTTTCAGAGTTCGCAACCGAAGCCAGAAAACCGGGACACCGCCACTGTTATCCCGACAACTGGAACCACTACAGTGACAAACCCTCCGCCAGTTCCTAGTCAAAGTATGTATTCCATTATTTCTTTAACTGTTAGTACTTTAGACCATAAGAAGAGTAGACTTTTAAATACAGTGTAGTACCCATTAGGGCTGTGTTTAACCTAGGAAACTTACGTAAATGGGCATAGACGCCATCAAAGAGGTTGTTAAACGAGGAAATATTCCCTGGGTAACAAGGTTTTTGAGAATTATAGCCGTCCAACTGAACGTGAAAACAAAAAACAGCATGATTTTTAGACTATGTACTTCTGTTTTCCAGTATGGAAATAACCTTTCAGCATACTCATACTTACCTACATTTATATATTTTACTTTTTCAGAGACAAGTTTATGATGTCACTCAGATATTGAGGCCATCATAAAAGTATGATGTTCATCAGAGGTATGACTATTTAGGTTCGATGTATTAGATGGATATCTTATGCCTAGACAAATTAAACTTGCGAATATGGACACAAGGGGAGCATAATTCTTCCAAAGCCAAAAATGGAATGTCAACTCTCAAGTTTCATACCTAAGAATATACTCAGACCGAAATAAATAAATGTATTAGGTCAGTTTAAAGTGGCAAATCTATTGTCCCTATGTATCGTACTAAACGTTTGTCCTTTTTGTTTAATGTATCTATTTGACTTAAAGCATACTGCTTCAATATTTTGGTATATCACCTAATAATTAAAGTTATCTGAAGTCAGCGATTTTACTTAGTCATTCGGATTTTATAAACTACACTGGTACTGCGTAAGGTTTGATCCTTCCAACATATAATAATTACCAGTGTATTTTTTCATCCAGGTGCTACAATGAATCTTCCTGTCCAGAGGTTAACAGCTCAAGATATATTGGACAAAATACAAAAGCATCAACAAGAGCAAGCCAAGGCTCAGGCACTAGCTGCTGCCGCCGCCGCAAAACTTCCAAAATACTACAACCCAACCACTGTCAACGCCGTTAAACTTGCAGAGCAGCAACAAAAGCGCAAATTATTGTGGTCCAAAAAAGACAGTGAAAACACTAGTTCTGTAAGTAAGAGTTGGTTTTGAGATATCAAGTTGATTTCTGATGCGTTGACTAAGTTTTAAACGCTCATTGTTAACTGCAAATCTTTTTCACCTAGGAAAGTAAAACTCTTTGGACAGCTACCTCTCTAATTGCTGGAAAAGGTGATTCTGCAGCTGCCGCTAAATTTCGAAAATTAATGGGAATTCATGATTCTTCCGGAGAAGTACTAGACGGTGGTGCTGCCAACGTTAACGAAACTGAGGCTCTTCGTCGAGCTGAAGCTCAGGCTGAACTTTTCCGACGACTGGAACACGAATATGAAATGTCTCGCACTATAACACATACTCAGCGAGGTGCTGGTCTTGGTTTCAGCTCATCTAGTCATGTAGATTACAATGCATATGCTGCTATGCAAAGTGAAAAAGACAAAAACCCTAATTTATAATTGTATTTACCTTAAGAATTCACTTGTACAGCTCACCATTGAATATTTTAAAGAATGACTTCATTATTTGCAAACATGTCTCAGTCATTTTTTATTAGCTAATAACCAGTTATCAGAACTGCTTTTACTTGGCTTACCATTCTTGTTTAAATTACTATTGTCTTCCTCTGAACCTTCTACCAGGAGACATGCTTGCTGACGTAGAGTATGCTAATGACATCGTTCTCTACGGTGAAGACGAAATGCACTCTTCTGACTACTCGGAGCAACAATGCAAGCATGTTCGAGATACGCTTTTCCCACTCTAAATGCAAAATGTTGCTTCAGGATTGGGTTACATCGGCACCTGAACTAGTGATAAGGAGTGAAGTAGTTGAGCGTGTTGACCGCTTCACTTATTTCGGGAGTCTCATCAGTGCTGATGGCCTGGTGTGTGACGAAATCTCAGAAGGCTCAACTGGCTCTCACCAACTTGCTTCACTTTTGACGTAGGCGAGATATCTGTTTGCTAACCCGAGGACGAGTTTACTGCTCTCCGTTCTGCAAAACATGACCAGTCAGAGTAGATCATCGTTGTGTCCGAAGCATTGCTCGTGTATCCTGAGACAACCAAGTAAGCAATGCTATAGTTAGACATTGCGTACTAGGTAGAGATGGCAGATCGAGTGATAAATTATTTTGACTTTCTTCAGTTAAGGTGGTTGGAACACGTTGCGTACGCCTAATCACCGAGGAGTAGGTTGGAGGAAAGCTAGGGGCGGCGAAACCAAAACGATTGCAGAAACCCATGAAGTCACTTACAAGTGGACTGAGTCATGTTGGTAAATGCAGGCTACTTCGGTGGCATCCGCGAGATGAAGATAACCGATGGTTAGAGACCTTGAACGACATGTCTCAAAATCGTTTGCAGTGGCGCGGGTTCATTCAATCATATCTTTGAACCCTAATCTCTATTACTGCTAATACTCCTATCGCTACCACTGTGTGATTTGAACTGACAGTTGCGTATGTACTAATGTGGTATAGTAATCTGAACTGATGTACTTACGTACGAAGTTCCACGTTGTGACTGACTGAATCAAGAAAACTCAATATCAAGCAGGTATTTGTCAAGGGATTACAGTCATATACGTAAGCTTAGTCTAGGATTGCGTATAAAGTGAAGGATAGTTGTTTTGTGGAAGTAAGTTATTGCAAATGAAACTGCTCGGAATGAAAGCAATTCATGTATACCCTCATCAACTTAGATGTGGATTATTTAAACTTGAAGGTACGAATCCCAGTGCACCTCTAAGTAAACAGTATAGCATCACTAGCTCCCATGATTATGTCGATCCTGCTAAAGATTTATTCATAGAAGTGCTCATTTCGGATATCCAGTTTTTTCAGTTTTAAAAAAGTTCGCAGAGAAGAAGGAAGTCTGTGTAGGATGGCTTTGAACGCAATATTGACGAGCAGTCTATGTGAAAGCTATGGTCGGAACAAGCACACCTTGCTTTAAACTTTATTTGTTTTTATGTTTAGAAACATTAGTACAGTAGTTAAGGAAATTACAGTTATCAAGTCAAACGAGCAAACATACCGATCAATATGGCGTGTCTTATGGAAATAAATAAATTAGGAGTCACATCAATATAATAATGTCCTTCAATTAGTAGGTCATTTACAACAAAGATAGTCTACAGACACGTGAGACCAGATAACGTGGTGAACATTTAAACCACGATTTGATTGATTAGTTACGGAAATAACTGACAGTCTGCGACATTCGAGTTACTGGGTTACGTTGTTGTAAGACCACCAACATCGACTAATAATATTGTCATAGCTGCACAAGATTCTCCAGTCGGTTTAAACTCAGCCATCACCTACTGTAACGCTTGCTTAGATAATTCCCAGATAAATCCTATTGCTTAGTATTCTCTGACCACAATACACTGGACGAGTTCCCAAGAACCAAAAACACGGTTGAACAGGAAAAGATTATATTCCAAATAGCAAGGTTAAATGGAAGTAAGAAGCCAAGGGTGATGGCGAAGGCAAAGAGGGCAAAAATAGATACAACGTTAGTCTATTTATAGCATTTACATGAGAAACCTTCTGGATAGAAATTCACGTGATCGTCTGGATTAGATTTAACCAATCAGCACGCAGCTAGCGGTACGAGAATCTTCCACCCTGTTCTCCAAGATTCAATCAGGCGCTGATTGGATAGGAAATCAGCGCGCAGCAACGTAGTCATGCTTTAATCCATGTCCCCCTAACACACCTGTGGGTGCAAGTCCGTCATTTGTATGAGGTGCGAATAGAAGCAAGGTATTCGTCGACTAAAGAAGATTAGGTACCACTTGAGCACTTACGTAAAAACCGGAGTAGTACGAAGTTTTATATTAGAAGTGACCCTTAAATGCTGAAGCTTACCTGCCACTTAAACAAGTCACTTATAACATTAAAATTCAAGTTCTGGGACATACCGTTTTTCAGTGTTGGTTATTTGGTTACAAGCAAACCTAGACTTAACAGGACGTTTTCTTCACTGGGCTGATGAAAAAACTCGGAATCAATATTGTAACAGATTAGTTTCGGTGAAGGTATAGGAGTATGCACAAGATACAGAATATCTATTGTTGATGGGGAGGTCACAGTATTTTGTCACTACTCAGCTTCGAAAAAGTCTAAATTGATGGTCATCACTAGTGCTAAATGGTCCACAAATCAAAACTTTGCCCGGAAAGCTAAAGATACTCTAGACTCGACAACGCATTATAAATTAACGGAAAATCGGTCAAATATGATTGGCTTTTAGTTATGGTACATCAGCGTAATTTTCACAAGCCCTTAGTAACATTTGGGTACCCAATGAGTGTTCCTGTCAGATTAGGACGACTCAAGTTCACATTTGAGGGCAAATAATACTCTGGATCTAACAAGCGAGTTATATGACATCCCACTAACGTTCAACTGTAGTACGCCGTATCCATCTCTTTTACTTTCATAATCAATGCATAAACTTTAGCAATTGCTTTTTGCCTTTTATCGCGATAAGCTCGGAGCATTTATTAGTTCAGTAGCGACCTCTGAAATCAAGTCGCTTCCCTTAACCTTTTGGTTTAGGATACCGCTGTTTTTACCAGCTCGAAACGAACATCTTCCATTTGATAGACGAATTTTTTCTTTACGACGATAAACATTTCCGTACTAAATTATAAAAGGTTATCTTATTAGTTTTTCTATCCGGTAAGGTGTGCTCGAACCAAAACTTTAGATCTAGAGACGTACAACAGAAGTCGCAATCTCTTATCGACCTCCTCTTCTGATGAAAGTTAAATGTCTCATTTTCACCAACAAATTAATTCTGAGTTACCAGGTTGGTGTCTCAGAGGTAGTGCTTGCTGAGAATAAACAGTTGTAATAGACAGTTACCATAATATGCTCAACAGGGTAGTGTTGAAATCCGAAGAGGTGTTGAAGCCGCCTATCATAAATACCCTTGAGTATCTGAATGATACCAGAAAGTGATTTGTGAGGCTCATTAAAATTGTAGTCACAGATATTACGAAATCACAACTTGAACACAGAAATACGATTTAAAAACATTTTATGCAGACTAAAATAATAAATAGTTGTAAATAGGAATAATGATTACTCATCATTTCTTGTTCGCAGAACTATTTGTTAAGAATAAATAAAGCTCGTCGAAAGTTCTAATTTCAGAACGAGAATCTGATGGTTTTATCCGCCATTTAGGAGGGAATAAATTTCTCATACGTTCACTGAAATCGTTTTTATCCACTGGGTTCATAATGTACCATATCATTAGAGACAATGCTCCTAGTGATGTTGTAGTTATAACTGTTGCTACTCCAAGAGCACGTGCAGCGAAATGTATTCCAGATTCGTGTGTATTTTTGTTCTGATTAAATACCTGTGAACAGTATAATTGAGAGAAACTATAACATATAATATTAAAATTAGGTTGAAAAATTAGTAAACTTTTGTAAATGTTCTGGATAGCTTGAATGTTTGCAGCGATATAATTACTGTTTACCTGATTATTAATGGATTTTATAAATTATACACCAGGTGGTTTTAAATCCACCTAGTTGTTTGAGAGCGGTTCATCCGGTTAAGAAGTTTATATGCCATGAAGTTTCTGCACGAAACAAGGCTAACAATCTCGGTACCGAAACTATCGAGATTAACGTAAAAATGTATCGATGCAGAATCACTTCACATGACAGTTTCGCTGATCCAAATATACTAAAATGGTATTTCATGCTAACTTTATGCTAGAAATATGTACACATTTCGGTATTTTCAACATCCGATGTAACGAGAAGTGCTTTAACGTTAAATATACATTTTTTTTGGTAAGGAAAAATGATAGATTTATCAGTGACTGAAACACTCCACAGATACTTATCTATTAAATAAAGTAAGTCGAGTAATAGTCCCCTAAAAAACTACTAAAATAATTATTTTCCAATAAATGAATATGAATGAAACAAGATTTATGAATAAAAACAACTTGACAAAATAGCTTATGGTAGTTTTGTTAAGGTCAATTAATTAACAGACAAATGTTGTTTATTTCTAACTTTTATGGTATAGATGAAGTCGGTTGTTGTAGTGGGAAAAATACACTAACTCTTTTAGTCTCGACCTTTATATTATTTCATAATTTTGTTCTTGAACCATTTCACAAGGTACACATTGATTGAAATGGTCAAAGATTAATTGAGTTGATGATTAAAATTAACTGTAAAAATGGACAATCGAAATATATGATAAAAGACAAAAAGCAACTAAATAACTTCATCAAGGTAAACACACAGTCAAAGACTATTCAATGATATTTTAAAAATAAAAAAACACATCTTACTTGAACAAATGATTGTGGATTGACTTTCTTAAAAGCTAATATTTTGTATGCAAATCCCGCCATTAAAGACAGACCTGAAATTCCTATAAACGTACCAAAAACTATTTTCTGATTAGTATTACATATTTTTCCTTACCAAGATAATTTGGACGAGTTTTCTGAAATTTCTTATCTTCATGTTCTATCATGGTGTTCGATGTGATGTAATTCGCTAGATCGCTAAAATACATAAATAACATTCACTTAACAAAATCTTTGAGAATGATATGAAATAACCATTTTGTTTGCTATTAACTTACACATGGAATAAAAATGAAAATTTATATAAGGTCAGCTATAAGCAACGTGGGAAATGGCTACATTATGACAACTTGAAATGATGTACACACGTGTCAAGTTCTACGTTGCAACTGACTGATTGACTTGGCACATATATACAAGTTGTCATACCATTTTATCAAAACAAATTTCAGAGTACTAGAAGTAGTAACATTAGTATTAGTAGTAGAAAACATTAAGAACAGAAAAATGAATTCACAGAATAAGAAGTATAAGATAATTTCAAATTCTAAGATCTAAAAGAAACCAAAGAATGAATGCATCTTAACCATTATGAACGATCCTGAGCCATGTCTCGTTGTCTCTGACTGTTGGTAACATTAATCAAGAGGGCCCCAATGGGGTAGTAGAGAGAGCCAAGGGCGGCCAAATTGTAAGGATCAAACCACCTATTGCGTCATGGATTATTTAAGTAAACTGTGTTTGGAGATGAAAACTGCCTGGTTATGGTTGGTGATTCAGGTTAAACAAACTGATGAAAATCAAACCAATGTCACCAAACAAAGATTTCATCTGTAAGCTTATTGATAATTACGATACCTAAACTTTTGACATGTATCCAGACGATTTGTCAGCTTAACGGGGTTTGTTGAATCAAAATGTGACTAAAAATCGGATTTGCAATTAAGAGGTTTTGGAAAATTAAAGTTAGAGCATAACAAAACTAACAGCCCCCAGAACTTCAAAACAGTCATTGTGATAAGTTATCAAGGACAAGTAACGTTTTGTGGCTAACACTTAAGTCTTTCATCATCGCATCGTGATAAGTTTTTCCGATCCTATGACCACTGTATGCATACCACGATGTTCGGCACTTAGAGTATGAATGGCCTAAAACTGCATCTTGTCAATTCCAATCTATGGTTTTGATTAAAAGTTCAAATCAAAATTTCCATGATACAAAAACCTTATCAGCAAATGTATGTAACTTTCCATAAAGAATATTTTTTCTGATCAAATAATTAAAGCATGAAGCATTTGTATATACACTTATTTCTCTACAAATACTATGTATAAATAAGGAGGGGAAATACGTCTGACCAAACATCTTACTAATCAATGTTGTAGGTAATACAGGCGAGTACATTATTTAAAATTTTTATGAACGCATTAAGTATATTGTTCTCTATTTAAACACGAAAACATTGGTACAAAAGGGCATTTAAAATATTGATGCGCCACACAAATTCTCGAATTTAATAGCAAGTCGGGATACTGCCCAGACGAGCGAACGGGAGCAGGTGATTTACCTAGGGCACCAGGCCCGGAGACTTTAAAACAAAAGTCTAATCCACAAGGAGGAGAAGCAACATTAGGAAATGCAGTCATAGAGAAGCGGGTGACCACGGTGTGGGCAACCGCAAAGTAAGTTCTTCATGAATCTGTTGTAGAACGCCGCTCTTCCCAGGAACTATCTTAACTTCCTTTTTGAGTTGGGAACTGCAGTATTCTTTATCGTTAGAATCTTCTCCGGAAGTGGTTTTATTTCTCCATTACCTACTTTATGCCCCAGCAACGTGACGCTTCTTCTCGCTATCTGAGACTTGTTTTTTTTAATTCGTAAACCAAACTCATCAATTCGCCTTAGGACCGCCTCCACGTGCCTCACATGTTCTGCCTCTGTACGACTATATACGACCAAATCATCGCCATACACCTCGACATTCTCCAGGTTTCTGAGCAGCAATGTCACTAGTCTTCGAAACGTAAACGGTGCACCCGCCAATCCAAAGGGCATTCGTTTAAATTGATACTGCTTCTCCCGTACGGTAAATGCCGTTTTGCTGCGATCACTGTCTTTTATTGGTAGCTGCCAATAGCCCGACCGTAAATCTAACACTGTGAACACCGTAGCACTCTGTAGACGATCTAATGTCTCCGCTATTGTTGGCATTGCATTGGCGGCCATGCGAGGCCATGAGACACCAATTGGTGTCGCTGCCCCTTCACAGAGTGAAGATCCCATGGCCTCGGGAGTTTGAGGACGGGGATGTAAGGGATTTCTTGAAGGAGTTCAAGGCCGTGAGGGAGCTGGTTGTAGTCAAGGAACAGAGGGCGAAGGCGGTGGTGCTGGGGACTCTACTAAGAGGCAGGGCGAGAGCGGTGTACGATGGTGTGGAGGACGCTGACTGTGAGGTGGTGACGGAAAGGCTGCTGGTGGAGTTCGACAGCCCGGCGGATAGGCAGGACGCACTGCAGAAGTTCCGAGAGGCGAGACTGACGGTGGATGGCGACCCACTCGTGTTGGCAGTGGAGTTGACAAGATTGCTGCGCCGGGGTCTGCCGAATTTGGATGGGGAGTCGCAAGCACAGCTGCTAGCGTCGCTATTCATTGAAAGTGAGCCTGCAGAGGTTGCCCAACAGTTGAGACGGGTGAACGCCACACAACCAATGGACGTCACCGAGCTGGCAAAAGTAACGAGACAGCTGATGAACCCAACAGTCGCCTCGGTGGCGTGTGAGAGACAGGCGGATGATGTCGCAAAGAAGATAGAAGAGTTACAACGCGAGGTGGCAGCGTTACGAATAAAGGGTGGAAGAAATAATAAATGCTATATTTGCGGAGGAACCGGGCATTGGAAGAGGTATTGTCCAACAAGACGAAAACGTAAACATTTTAGACCATATACATGGTGTTCTTTATGTCCTATGAAACTGGGGGTCGCGGCAGTAGTAGGTAGGGGGGCGGTCTATGCGAGAGTAGGGATAAACGAGCGAGAGGTAGTGCGCCTGATTGATACAGGGGCGGCAGTTTCATTAATAGACAAAGAGCAGTGTAGAAGTATCAGACCGAGTGCATTAGTTGTTAACACCATCGGAGGCCACGTGTTAAAAATCCTAGGAGTCTCAAATGATATCGTGAAAATCGGTAATTTGGAAATACAGTTTCCCTTTGTGGTAACTACGAACTTGTCGAGACCAATACTAGGAGCAGATTTCTTGAGAGAAGTAGGAGCAATTATTGATACAAGAAGCAAGAAGGTGATTACAAAGTACGGTACACTGACAATACATGAAAGCAGCGAGGTGGCTGAAGTTAGAGTAGCAAAAGAGGACAATGAAAAGAAACAGAACATTAACAAGGTGCTCACGAAATATACGAAGTTGTTCACGGGAGACGGAGAACCGTGCGGATTTTTTAATAAAGTTAAACATGAAATTCCGATGAAGAACGAAGAAGTGACCATCTTCACAGCACGACGGGTCCCCGTACATTTGGAAGCTGAGATAAACCAGCAGGTACAGGAGATGTTAAAGGCAGGTATAATTGAAGAAGCAGATAGGCCGTACAGCTCGCCGGTACTTTTGGTAAAGAAGCGAAATGGAAAGTATAGATTCTGTGTTGACTTTAGAGAACTGAATAACGTGACAGAACTAAAACCATGTGCAATGCCAACAATAGCGGAGACATTAGATCGTCTAAAGAGTGCTACGGTGTTCACAGTGTTAGATTTACGGTCGGGCTATTGGCAGCTACCAATAAAAGACAGTGATCGCAGCAAAACGGCATTTACCGTACGGGAGAAGCAGTATCAATTTAAACGAATGCCCTTTGGATTGGCGGGTGCACCGTTTACGTTTCGAAGACTAGTGACATTGCTGCTCAGAAACCTGGAGAATGTCGAGGTGTATGGCGATGATTTGGTCGTATATAGTCGTACAGAGGCAGAACATGTGAGGCACGTGGAGGCGGTCCTAAGGCGAATTGATGAGTTTGGTTTACGAATTAACAAAGACAAGACTCAGATAGCGAGAAGAAGCGTCACGTTGCTGGGGCATAAAGTAGGTAATGGAGAAATAAATCCACTTCCGGAGAAGATCCTAACGATAAAGAATACTGCAGTTCCCAACTCAAAAAGGAAGTTAAGATAGTTCCTGGGAAGAGCGGCGTTCTACAACAGATTCATGAAGAACTTCAACGATATAGCAGCACTGCTATATAAAGTGCTAAGCAATGCGAAGTTTACGTGGATAGTGACCGCTCAGCAAACCTTCGACCGAATCGAAGAACTGTTAGATGACCGCTAAATGACGCTGAGCCTGCCGGAACCCGAGAAGCCATTTACAGTGACCGATGATGCGAGCGATCACGGTATAGGTGCCGTCTTGAGGCAGTCTGACAGAGTAGTGGAGTATGCCAGTCGTGTTCTTACGCCGACAGAACAGAAGTATTCCACAGTAGAAAAAGAGTGTTTAGCGATTTTATGGGCGGTAGACAAATGGAGACCGTATCTACTGGGTCGGCGATTTCACATCGAGACGGATCACAAGCCCCTACAATGGTTAAAAACAGCAAAAGACCCCCGTGAGAAGTTGGCTTGATGGATGCTACGTCTGCAGGAGTATGATTTCAGCATCGGGCATGTGCCAGGGGAGGAAAATGTAATGGCAGATTACTTGTCAAGACCGAACACCGAAGCCGAACTTCCAGAGATAGCATGTGCAGTTAACGGCCTAGAGGGAGACCCCCTAGAACTCGTCCGACATCAGAAAGCCGACCCCAACCTTCGAGAGGTAATCAGAGTTATAAAAGAGGGAGATGTCGACAAGAGTGGAACAGACAAAAAATTAACAGTGTTGCTGAGGCAGAAAGAGAGACTGAGAGTGAACGGATACGAAGACTTGACCTGGCGGGACGATGACGAGAATTGGGTAGCAATAATCCCAAAAGATCTGCGCCAGGAGATGATTAGTGAATGTCACCAGGTAGCGCACACAGGTATTGCAAGGCCAACTGATTTGTTGCGACAAAGTGCGTACTGACCAGGTATGAGAGACGATGTTGCACGATATGTGTTGGCGTGCCAGCGATGTCAACCAATGAAAGGGGATCGATGCATACGACCGCCATTGCAGTCAATCACAGTAACAGCAGTTGGTGATTTGTGGTCAATGGATGCTATGGGACCGTTCACGCAGACGACAAGTGGTAAGCAGTACCTGCTGGTGATGACTGAGCATGCCACACGATGGGTAAATGCCGTACCGATGGCGGGCCAACGTGCAAGGACAGTGACTGAAGCGGTAGTGCGGCACATTGTGGCGGACCATGGAATACCAAAGATAATATTAACCGATCAAGGTTCCTGTTTCGAGAGTGATGAGTTCAAGTCCCGTCTAAAACAGTTAGGTATCAAGAGAGTACGGACAACGCCGTGTCATCCACAGACGAATGGGTTGACAGAAAGGAATAACCGGACGCTAAAGGAATAGCTAGCATCTAAAGGGGGTAACTGGGAAAAAGAATTACCATTAATCTTGCTGGCACATCGTGCCTCGGCACAAGGAACAACCAGGAAGTCATCGTATCAGCTGGTGTATGGCAGACGGCCGAGACTACCAACGCATGATAAAATCTGGCCGCAGCAACAGAGATGGAATACAACAAGGTTGAGAACAGAGAGGAGACAAGCAATCAGGAATGTGAAAGAGAAACAAACATCAGACATGGAGAAGTCAGAACAGGAAAGAAAGAAATGGAGACCGTTTGAAGTGGGAGACCAAGTGAAGTGTAGAGAACGGAAATATACCACAGGAAGAGGGCCAGGGTCAGGTAAGCTGGTCCCGATGTGGAAGGGACGGTATGTAGTCACGGAGAGACGCGGCGCAGTGTATACGATCCAGAAAGGAAACAAACAGAAACGCGTGAATGCCAGTCAACTCCAAAGGTGGTTCCAGGTGCACCAAGAGGGAAAGCCACAAACACTGATAAAGAAGGCAGCTGTACGGCGATCAGAAAGACTGAGAGAGCGACTTGTTAAAGGTTGGACATAACAGCACACAAGACCAAATCGGTCATAATTAAATCATTTCTACACCTCCTAATAGCTCTCTTATCTCTTCAATCAGCTCCTCCTTCAATCGTTTGTCACCTCGCACCTCTGAAGCAAACGGTTTGAACTCACGACATATATTCCTGGTCTCTTGAAATATTGTACTAAATTACGCATTGGAGCTTTTATTGTTCGAACCCTATGCCAAATAGGGCGTGCTTCATTAGTTAGAACTCTGGAATCCCGGGCGATCGATGAATGTTGCGTCTCCGGAAACGCGCATACAAAATCCGAGTAAAATCATCAATTCTATTTCACATACTCCAGATAGAGAAACAACTCGGTTTACGCTTCGTGTTTCTGGGAGCCCTGATGCTGCTTCCAGGGGTCTTGCTGGCGTAGGCATAGCATTGAATCGTAGAGCTGAACAATCTCTCCTAGACTGGATCCCTGTTTATAGTCGCTTGTGCGCTGTCCGACTGAAAGGGAGAGTAAGGATTCAGAAGGATAGGGAAACTCGCCGTCGCCTATTCTTCGTATCTGCCTATGCTCCCACTGACTGCAGTTCAGACAACATAAACGATACGTTTTACAGAAACCTCCCTAACCTCCTCCAAAACGTTAAGCGCTCTGATATAGTGCTAGTGGCTGATGACTTTAATGCTCAAGTAGGTAAAATATCTCTTAACCTGGCGACCCTCAAAGCCGACACAACACTGGACTCAACCAGATCACATCGCCATCAGCCACTGATGGAGGGGTTCGATAGAGGACTGTCGCTCGTTCTAGGGCACATGTCTAGATTCAGATCATGCTCTAGTGCGACTAACTGGACGTAGAAAAGGAACCGCAAAAAACCTTCTACCTACTGATAGCGAGCTACGAAAATATTTCAGGAACAATGAGAAAAACAGTTAAGCGGGCATGTAGTAAATGATGCCTATCCCGAGGCAGCTTGGAGTGATATCAAAAAAGCTGTGGAAACAGCAGTGATATCTACTAGTATGGTAAACCATAAGGTTAGGGAGAAGTCGTGGATCTCAGTGGCATCCACCGAACTAACAGACGCTCGTAAACGCATCCCACCTGGCTCTGAACATGAAGAACGAAGTCAGATCGAGTGCAGGCTGATAAAAAGCTTACGTAATAATCGTCAACAACGATGGGTAACGAAAGCAAGGGAGATGGAAAAAGCAATGGCAATAGGCAACAGTAGAAAACTTTTCCTACTTATCAAGGAAGCCGGCATTGGAAATCAATCTGTTAGCGAAACTATCTCAGAAAAGAATGGGCTTATGATTCATTCTCAATCCAAGATATTGGATCGATGAGCAGAACGCTTTGGGGATCAATTCAATTGGCCTTCAGCCACAATTCAGTTACCCATGATCTCCAGTCATCCTGAATGGTAGGTCGACATCAGTCCTGCGACTCTTTAAGATTTGAGAAAGCGATAGGAAATCTGAAATGAGAGAGAGCAGCAGGACCCGATAGATTGACTCCTAGATTTTTGAGGATGGTGGTCCAGTTTTAGCAGCTAGATTGATTGAAATCTTAGGCAGAATCTGGGAACTGGACACAATCCCATCTGACTGGTCTCAATCACTGATTGTCCCAATCTACAAGAAAGGACAAACGTCTTCTTGTGACAATCACAGAGGAATCAGTCTAACTAATATAGTTCCTAAATTTTTAGCCTCGACTATACTTAGACGCCTAACTAGAGCTCATGAAGAGCAGGCTAGAGAAAACCATGCTGGTTTTCGACCTGGACGTGGATGTATAGACCAGATATTCACACTAAGACAGGTCCCGGAACACAGACAGATATTAAGGCGTCCGACTATAGTTGTCTTCCTTCAACTTAAAGTAACATTTGACTCTGTTGATCGTGAGGTTCTATGGCAGTATTTGTCAGTAAAAGGTGTACCAAAGAAGTACATTAACCTTATACAAGCTCTCTACTCGAACACTACAGGTCGAGTGAGAGTGGTGGTTAGAGACCTTGAACGACAGGGCTCAAAATCGTTTGCAATGGTACAGGTGCATCCACTCTTTGTGTTCTCTCAAATCCTAACCTTCTGAGTTCTTCATCATCTCTATCTTTTTATTTTACGTTTATCTCACTAGATTCTACTTCTTGAATAATATCGTTGAACCCTAAAATTTCCGATTACTGCTCATACTTCTAGTCCCACTACCACTATGGGATTTGAAGTGACAAGTTCATCTCTGTTCTAATGTGGTATGGCAACGTGAACTAATGTACTTGCGTACGAAGTTCTATGTTGTTGTTGAGCGACTGACGGTGACCAACAATAGATTCGTATGCTTATCGTTCTATAAGGACCCCCCCGTGACGCATGTGCACCATTGGTTTAGAGTTAAGTCTTTTCCAACTTTTACATTGATTCTCTGTACCCACTAACACGGTTAAGGAGCCAGACACTCGCCTTTCATCTTTTCAGTTTCGTAAACAACCCCGCCACGAGAAGGCAATGAGGAGTTCCCTGGCGGTGGCCATATGAGAGCATTTAGAGAGGTAGATTATCCTCACTATCTCTCTCTGTCTGTAAATATATATAGGAAACATTTTACTAAAAACCAACAGAAAGAATACATACCTTAAAAAAAATGAACTTAATGTGCAACAAACTCACTATTTAAAATCAATAAAAATGTATTTACGTAGAAACGAAATTTATTCACAACATTTATACAAACCAAATAGATATATTACTAGTAAGAGAATGCAAAGAGAGATCGACGAAATGCAAACTAAGAATGATATGTTGTTAGCTTTCAATTTAGCAATAACAAGGAGTTGGTAAATATTCCATTTTTTAATAAGTAATTAGCTCATATTATAATTATAATCGCTGATAAAGTTTTATCACATTAAAGCTTTCGTACAGATTTAATTATTCTATTGTAAAAATTTTTCAATAGTAACAACAGTTATAATTAAGAAACTTGAATTGTTGTATTTGGTTTTTTGTGCAATGTATTGCGTAGATTTTCAATTTCGTTCTCTTGTAAATGTACTTCAGCTGTAGTTTCAGCAAGCTTGAAAATAAAAATAAAAAACCATGCATAGTAAATTGTGCGTATTTCAGTCACAGAATAAATAATTGAATTATCAACATCAGAAATTTTTAAAGATTGCTGAATATTGTAGATCCACACTACAAAATGATTTTCGCCAGGCGATCACCACCCTTGAAGTATTGAAGGGTTATTTTGTCTTAGTGTGAGACCCCTCAGCAGCGTGCGTTTTTATAAATGCCAATTCGATGATTTGGAAGATATAGGATAGGTGCAAGAACTGAATGTTCTTGGTTAGATTATTGGTAGGATCATGAATGTGGACTGTTGGTGACTTTTACATTGGGACCAAACAGCTGTTCAGTTTTTCCTGGATTTTAATGGTAGTCTTAGTAAAGCAAGTGTGCTATAAACTATGAGTTAAATTAAATTATGTATACTTGTAAATAATAAGGAAGGAGTAATTTAAAAAATGTAAATGATATCATACCATATCTAAGAGTATGTCAATTTTCAACTTTAACAAATTATTTTCTTCAATTAATTGATGATTTTCTTTTTTAATACGAAATGTTTCACGGCCCAATTGAGTTGCATTTCCAGATTCATCATTTAGCATTCCATTTTCTCCTTCTAAAATGCAAATAGTTATATATATATATATATATATATATATATATATATATATATATATATATATATATAAACGGTGGCACCCACAAAAGACCATTTCCAAAAGATTAATTATTGATAAACAAGTTAAGCTACAATATCAATGATTTTTGTGATAATATTTAACAACCACTTCGTTGGGAATGTTAAATCTCTACATATAATTTGGTAGGGGGAAATTAAATAACAGACTATCTATCTATCTATCTGTCTAAGCAGAGATGGATAGTGGCTAACAGTGCAATCATAGAAACACATCCTGCCTTATTTTAAACTTGTCACTTGCGTCCCAGAGTTGATGTTCTTCACTGCAAGACTTCAACTTAGTACTGTTCTCTTCAAACCTCATCGCGTTATCTATTCAGCTAGTGAGTTCAAAAAGTCATTGGTTTGTGTGATGGGGTTGAATTTATCATTTATTTTTATTAAATAAGCCAGTGGTTACTTAGACTGAATAGATGACTGGATAATACGATAACATTTGAAGCAAACAATAGTACTAGGTTGAAGTGTCGGAGTGAATATCAACTCTGGGAGGCAGATACATAGAGCTGACAAGTCCTAAATACTACGAAATGCGTTTTTATGTTTCCAATGCTAGTCACTATTCATCTCTGCTTATAAATGCATTATGAATTAATAGTAATATATCACGGCAATCAGCATAGGATACACACATACATATTCAAAACAGACTGATCGATTGCATTCCTAGAAATGTCAATAAGAAGAGATCGAACACAACAACCAATATGTATGAAATAAGACTATTCTATTAGTTGCATAAAAACAGTGTGATTTTGTGTTAACATAACAACTGTTTTGTTTGATAATTCGTAACTAATAGTGACTAATATTAATCAGTATATAGCTAAATGATTTAGAATTAAATTATTTGTTTTGTAAGATCTTGTCCAATATATATCATTCTGTTTAACAAATTTTTTTCTCTTTTCTATAGACAAAAAGTTTATTATTGAAATATTGTGTATTAGTTATTCGATCTACTTAGCATGCAATTGTCTAAATTGCTTGTTGTTAGAAAGAAACATGTAACATGTATGTATAGATCAAATTAAATCGAGATGATGCTAACTAATTTTACAAACTAATAAGAAGTTATCTATCAACAAATAGTCTGTATCTATCATTGGTATATGAAAGTTGAAATGATTAGTAGATGATAAATATGATATATCATAGAACTAGAATTTATTTTAACTTTAACATTTTGATTCATAGGGAAGATTGTAAATAATGTAATAAACACAAGTTACTTTTTGAAAAATGATAATTCTTATTTATAATATGAACAGAACACCTAGAATTCGCCTGATTTTAGTTTTTTTCCAGTGAGTTGACAATTAAAATAATTTGACATTAAAGAGTAGTAGTAGTGTGGTGTGAGCTACTTATAAGTAGTATATGACGTGAGTGTCAACGTAATGTCTGGCAGCAGAAGATGGGGGAAGATCAAGAAAGGAAAAGTTAGAACACAATGGAATTTGTATGAAATGCATGAACAGTGACATTGGATTGATGTTTTGCAACAGGAACAGTCCAGTTCGATATGATGGACTGATATTTTGCAAATGAACGATTTACGATATGGTTTTCCAATTTTACTGAGTAACTCTGTAATTTCGCTAAACACCCACCTGTGTTCTCGTTCACTACAGTAGTAGTAGTAGTAGAGAAAAAAAAAATAGTTTTTCAGAAAATCATGAACTTCAGGTAGATGAAATTCAACTGACGTATATAGAGTGGGACTAAACAAAAACACTTTAGACAAACCTACAAAAATATAGAGATTTAAAATTACATACAAAAACCAAAGCTACTATTATGTATGTGATAAATTTTTAAGAGATAAATTGAATATTATTGAAATTAAATTTAATACTTTTTTAAAAATTTGAAAATTCAAATGCTATCTTGCAATAAGCGTGAGTTTTTACCGTATTATAAAAGGATTCAATGTTTCCATATATAAATATATGTTACTGCCTGTAATCAAACGATATATATATATATATATATATATATATATATATATATATATATATATATATATATATATATAGGATAGGACACACACTAAGCAAAGCACCGAACTGCGTCACAAGACAAGCCCTCACATTGAACCCTCAAGGCAAAAGGAAAAGAGGAAGGCCAAGGAATACATTACGCCGAGAAACAGAGAAAGATATAAGAGGAATGAATAAATATTGGACAGAACTGGAAAGGGAAGCCCAGGACAGAGTTGGTTAGAGAAAAATGGTGGGCGGCCTATGCTCCATTGGGGCAACAGGCGTAATATATATATATATATATATATATATATATATATATATATATATATATATTAGAGGGATTTATGGAAATATTATCTACAAAAAAAACACGCGTAAGAAAATTGCTTCCTTTTATCACGTCGTAGTAATATTACACAAAAAAACATAAGCATTCAGAAATATGAAGGTGAGTTTGTATTATGAATTTAAAATGAAATGTACTACAGAAAGGATGACGGTAGTTCATTGCAGAAACATATATGATGAGATTCGAAATTAATGCAAAAAAAATATTATAGTTGGCGAAAAATATAATCAAAGTGCATTTGTAAGTAGAACAAATAAAAAAAACAACATAATTTTACATTCACTTAAATATATCTTCAATCATACAATGTCATCTTACATAAACGATGTTTATACGATGTACTAAAAAAGAAAACCAAGTAAACAAGAGTGTTGGTTAATACATCTTCAAACTATCAAGAATGCGTTTTTTCTTTATAAATTAAAGCATTATTTATTATTGATATATGAATATATAGATGATGTTTCATTAGTCTAACAATATTAATAAATGTATCAATAATATCTATCTTTTATTGCACTCATAGGATATTGACATTTGAAAAACTCACCAATGATCCATTGTCCATTACGGAAAACAAGATCACGTCCACTTAAACGTGTTCTAACTGGTCCAAAATCCATACTGAACTCTTGACTTCTAGCAGTTGAGTCCAAATGTGATAAATTTGTCATACTAGACGCTTTTCGAGCAGGAAACTTTGGTACAGTGAATTTTCTTTGGAAAAGAGGCATTTCCGATTACAAATAGCTAGTCAAAAAAGTAGTTAGTAAGTGTATCATTTTTCTGGAAGGTCAAGTTTTTTTTTGATATTACAATACAGATTATATAAGTAACGGAGAATGAGACAAGATATCCTTTGCAAAACAGTAACACAAATTAATACTAACCTAACTCATGTTAAATTATAAACTATATTTATTTCATGAAGGTTAAAAATATTACCCAATGAGTTCATCCATAATAAGAGAAAACAAAGTGATCGGATGATGAAAACATTATCAAGCAATAGATTATAAAAAATTTAATAACTAGTCCTAAAATATAAAGAGGAAAGTAATAGACGGATGGATTAATTACCAAAGGTACATAATGAACTTTACTGAATATTTTATTCATTATCACTTTAATCAAAGAATGTGACATGTCCAAGTGTTCATTGGAACATGTTACAATGACATGTATTAAACTCTATACATAAACTCATAATTTATTGCCTGTATAACTGCCTAGGTTTAAAATTGCGTGAACGCAATTCCTCAACTATAGCTCTTGTTTTTAAACATTTTATTAAACACTGTTGAAGTTTAAGTGCAAATACTAGTTATTTCTTGTTATTTTGTTATACGATGATACAATTTGAAAAATTTTACTATTTTGCAGATAATGTATATTGGATCTGAAAACATAGTTATGTGTGGCATTACTGAATGACACTTCCCAAAGGTCATGAACAGTGTTCATAAAGTTGTATTACTTGTTTCTGTAGTCGATCTTTTTGATAATTGCACTAATCAAAATGTTTTACTCATAAATTTTATGATAAAGTAATAAACAACAATCTTCATAAATCGAACTGAAGAATTGTAGAATTTGCTCGCTAGTGACTAGATTCGTGAGGAAATTCTCGGAGTTCTAGTGAGAAGACGTGATCAGTGGAGTTTGACCTTGTAGGGTGTAGGCAGTAACTACCGAAGACAATGGGTGAGGTCGCACAAAATCCCCAAACTGATCAGACTTAGACATTAGCACCGTTGGATGCCGGCCCAGTGATTCGGAGGTTAGGCATTCGTGTGCAAGACCGAAGGTCCTGGGCTCGAGTCCTGTGGGTAGCAGGAGTCGTAGATGCGTGCTGACGATGAGTCTCATACTGGGATGAAACGGCGTCCAGTGCTTCCAGATTCCTAATGCTGGTCTAAACAATGATTTATTCATGATTTCAGTAATATCATTTATTAGATGAGAATTTGTTTTATTAAAGTATTTATATTTTGAGACTGAGTTCAACAACCATATTAACATGTGAATTCTACTTGATTGGTGAATAAAAATCAAATGAACTCTTCTGTAAGCTGAATAGAAATGAAAAACTATAGTCTTAAATTAGAAATGTTGCATATTTTAAGTGTCTTATATAATATGTTAAGGTCATTGATTTATTTTTCTTTCAAAATTCTGTTTGTGAAAACTGCACTCACTAGTATTAATTAATATAAGCATATAAAATAAATTTAGTAGAAAAAAAAAGAAATATAATATCATACAAACAATGAACAGTAACAATGTTTCATTTTAAAAAAAACACAACAATTTTTCATATAAACACAATTTATATTTTGCATTTTTTCTAGATTAACAAATTGTAAATCAGTTGAATGTAACAGAAAACAATAAAAAAATGGCAGAAAACTGGACGAGTTGAAATCACAGTGGAATTGACCAATATAAACATATATATATATATATATATATATGTACATCGATTTATTTAGGACCAATTTTTTCATATAATCGTCTTCATTCATTGCTTACAAGATGAAAAAAATTGTTGTTTCAATGATTGAGATGTAGGGTTAGTAGTAGCTACCAAAAAATAAACTTGTGTTAATATATAATGATCTTCAAGTGGACGGAAGGATGAATTCTCAAAAGTGGATACTTTCTTGACGCAGTAAACGTAACTGATCACTGATTTGTGTGTACAGTGTTTTCGCAAGTAAAATAGCTAAAAGCTACGAAAGAAATAGAGAAGGAAATTTAAGAAAAGTGAAATAAGTAACGGATAAAACCGTTGATTATATATATATATATATATATATATCCAAACTCCGCCTGGAGAACTTTTGAGGCCACTGACGCTCCCGAGCCCGGACAAAAGAGGAGGGTTGGGCATGAGGTTGGTGACCCCATACCACCAAAAAGCTAACTTGCCAAAAAACGCTAACCAGAAAAAATAAATCAAACCATTTTAACTCAGCCCTGGGAGTTGGAACAAGAATTATGACGTCTCGTGATGAAATTCGAGTTCCCTCGGAAGTCACAGGGCCGATGCTTCTTCTGACAACCAGAGCAACCATTCTATTAGGTACATGGAACGTTAGTACATTGCGGGAGACAGGAAGACTATTTCAAGTTGCTGCAGAAATCAGAAGATACAACCTGGAGGTGCTCGGCATCAGTGAAACACACTGGACACATGTTTGACAACTGGGACTAGCTTCAAGGGGAACTACTGTTATAATCTGCCCATGAAACAGAAAATACTTCACATACACAAGGAGTTGCACTGATGCTGTCCAAACAAGCACAAAAGGCACTGACAGGATGGGAATCTCATGGACCCAGGATCATTAAAGCATCCTTCAAAACAAAGAAAGAGGACGTTACAATGAACGTCATCCAATGCTATGCACCTACCAGCGATTACAATGACGACGATAAACATCGATTCTACGAAAGGCTGCAGTCAAACGTCGACAGATGCTCACCAAAGGATTTGACGATTCTAATAGGAGACCCAAGTGCCAAAGTTGGCATGGATAATACTGGATATGAAGACATCATGGGACCACAGGGACTGGGAGAAAGGAACGAGAACGGTGAGAGACTTGCAAACCTATGTGCCTTCAACAAACTGGTCATCGGCGGCACAATAGTCCCACAAAAGCGCATACACAAAGCTACATGACTTTTACCGGATCACACTACTCAGAACCATATCGACCATATCTGTATCAATCAAAAGTTCAGAAGGACCATGGAGGATGTGAGAACCTAGTGAGGAGATGATTTAGAATCAGATCACCACTTGCTGATTCGCCAAAATGAAACTGACGCTAAAGAAGCACTGGACAACGAGGCAGACAACATCACAGAAGTTTATTACGGCCTTTCTTCGGGACAGCGTAAAACTTAACGAATTCAGGATAGCCCACAGCAATAGGTTCCAGGCCTTGTGGGATCTACTCAATGGAGAGGAAACAACCATCGAGAACAATTGGAATGGGATCGAGGAGGCGATAACTTCAACATAACGAGAGATTCTGTGTTACAAGAAGAACCATCACAACCAAAGGATCTCTGTTGGTACTCTTGAAAAAAATAAAGAGAGTAGGAACAAGAGGACAGCAATCAATGTCAGTCGAACAAGAGCACAAAAAGTTAAGGCACAAGCTGATTACACAAATGCAAACAGGAAAGTGAAGAACAGCATCAGAGCTGACAAACGAAAATATGTGGAAGATCTAGCAATGACGGCGAAAAGGCTGCAAGAGAAGGAAAAGGCTGCAAGAGAAGGAAACTTGAGACAATTGTGTGACACAACAAAGAAGCTCGCTGGAAACTATCGTAAACCAGAACGACCAGTGGGATGTAAGGAAGGCAAAGTAATCAGCAACACTGAACAACAGCGAAATAGGTGGGTAGAGCACTTTGGGAAACTCTTGAATCGACCAGCCCTACTGAACACACCCAACATCGAAGCAGAATCCACGGACCTCCCAATCGATGTTGGCGCACCTACAATTGAAGAGATCAGTATGGCCATCCGACAAATCAAGAGAGGCACAGAAGCAGGACCAGGCAACATTCCAGCAGAGGTGATGAAAGCAGATGTCAGACCAACTGCAAAAATTATTCACATTCTCTTCAAGAAGATTTGGGATGAGGAACAAGTACCATCAGACTAGAAAGAAGGATACCTCATCAAAATACCAAAGAAAGGAGATCTCAGCAAGTGTGAGAACTACAGAGGCATCACTCTTCTTTCAATAACAGGCAAAGTCTTCAACAGGGTATTGTTAAACAGAATGAAGGGCTTCATAGACGCCCAACTTCGAGACCAACAGGCTGGATTTGGATTGGTGTCGTACTGACCAAATTGCAACATTACGGAGCATTGTAGAACAATCAATTGAATGGAGCTCACCACTCTACATCAACCTCATCGACTACGTGAAAGCATTCGACAGCGTGGACAGGAAGATACTGTGGAGGCTTCTTCGACACTACAGTGTGCCTCAGAAGATAGTCAACATCATACGGAATTCTTATGATGGATTCAACTGCAAAATCGTGCACGGAGGTCAGCTGACAAACTCGTTCGAGGTGAAGAGCGGTTTCAGGCAAGGCTGTTTACTCTCGCCCTTTCTCTTTCTCCTGGTGATCAACTGGATTGTGAAGCCGCAGCATCTGGATGGAAGCACGGTATCCAATGGACAGTTAGGACGCAGCTGGACAATCTGGACTTCGCAGACGACCTGGCTCTTCTACCGCACACGCAACAACAAATGCAAGTAAAGACGACCAATGTAGCAGCAGGAGGTCTCAGGATTACATAAATGGAAAAGCAAGATTCTACGATACAACAAAACATGCGCCAACCAAATCATTCTTGATGGAGATGCCTTGGAGGACGTTAACACCTTCACATATCTGGGCAGTATCATCGACAACAAAGGTGGATCCGATGCAGATGTGAGGACACGGATCGGCAAAGCAAGGGCTGCATTTATACAATTGAAAAATATCTGGAAATCCAAACAAATATCAATCAACACCAAAATCAGGATCTTCAATACAAATGTCAACACAGTTCTACTGTATGGAACGGAAACTTAGAGAACTACGAAAGCCGTCATCCAGAAGATACAAGTGTTTATTAACAGTTGTCTTCGCAAAATACTTCGGATTCGTTGGCCAGACACTATCAGCAACAACCTACTGTGGGAGAGAATAAACCAGATTCCAGTGGAGGAGCGGTGGAAGTGGATAGAACACACACTGCGAAAAGCACCGAACTGCGTCACAAGACAAGCCCTCACATGGAACCCTTAAGGTCAAAGGAAAAGAGGAAGGCCATGAAACACATTACGCCGAGAAATAGAGAAAGACGTGAGAAGAATGAACAAAAATTGGACAGTACTGGAAAGGGAAGCTCAGAATAGAGTTGGTTGAAGAAAACTGGTAGGCGGCCTATACTCCATTTGGGGGTAACAGGCGCAATGCGCACACACAACACACATATACATTCAAATGGATGATGAAAGGTCTAAATACCTTAGAACAAATAGTGCTATAAAATTTGAAATACAAAACTACAGTTTACAGCCGATGACTTGTCCAAAGTATCTGTTTTGGACAGTATGTATAGTATGTAATGAAGGGCAAAAATATGAAAAGAAAACTTTTTAACCAATATAATAGAAAAAATCACATCATAACAATATGGGAATATTTAAGAACACAGTTCTAGTGTGAAAAAAGTCAAGATAAACTTTGTTTGTTCTAAAATCCATCTTGCTACTTATTAGGAGCGCTTAATTAAATAACAACAACAATTGGTAACATTGCAGGACAGTTCAGTCGAACAATCGCTAAAGCCTTATTCCAGAAGCCATGATGTGAATTAAAGGGTGCTAATCAAACAGAAATACCTTTATTCCAAGGTATTATTTTATAAGCTGCTTGTCTCTTATGATTTTACACGAAAAACAATACCAGAAAACAATGTTTGATATGCAAGTGCAAAATGTATTCAGACAGCCAAAAACGGTGCTTTGATAAGACGATAATGCTAATCGAATACGATAATAATTGCGTATATAATACATCGACTTTGTTTAAGCATGGAACTGTTAATTTACTTTTTCCTACGCGAATATCCATGTAACAAGTGAGATATCTCTGAACGATACTACGATTAAGGAGCGGTAATATAAAATTTCAGGAGTAACAAATATCTGCACTTCCAACAGGGCCATGGAATTGGGGGGTGGCTAGAACTAATACCGAGTTATACATATTTGAAAGTTAAGTTAGCATGATAAAAAAACCCATCAAAGCTGGTTGAATAATGTTTACAAACATTTTTATACAATAAGACAAATTTATTGAACAAGAAACTGAACCAAAAAAAGAAAATCAACAATCAATGATCTGTAATTAAATTTGGAATTATTGAAGAATCACGAAATCATTTAGATATGTTAAGTCCAGGTATCATGAAGTAAAGTCATCACCATTACAATATACTCTCATATATATATACTCCCATATTGTTATAATGTGATATATATATATATATATATATATATATATATATATATATATATATATATATATATAGTAGACTAACCTGTAATACAGCTACGCCACTGACTCCGCATGCAAAATAAACTATATTGCTTTCTATTAAATTGATGAGAGCATCAATACAACCAGTTGTCCATACTAAACGACTAGCTTCAGCAGTTGATAATGTTTGTACGCCAAATCCACACAATGTATTAATAAAATTAACCTACAGTGAGGTGTAAACATATCAATACAACCACTTCATAAATCATTGATCTTTTGTCTGATAATTTAATATTATTATTATTATTTAGGATATAATCATTTATCACCTAAAAACTAGAATTAGTCATGAACTGACAACTATTGCGAGATTAATAAGGCAGAATGAAAACTCTCCACAATAACATTTGCTTAGTTCTAGTTAGAGATTTCTACCATACGACGACACACAACTATGACCAGTCGGTCAGACAAATTGAACAAATGTTATGATAATATTTATACTATATCTAACATCTACAACTTATCAGACTGATATAAGAATATATGGCAAACAGATATTTCGCTGGTTGTAAGAACTTAATAAAGATAAGAAATATAATGGAATACTGAAAATCGAAAAATAGTGATTTTAGGAGAACGATGAAGGATTTGAAGTATAAATCTACTTATGTGTAGGGAAAACGAAAACATATGAAAAGTTATACAGGGAAATTTGAACACGCGATGTTCAATATAAGATTTTCTAGCTATATTTACTAGTGCATACAGCAGTCGTTGATCAGAAGACTCGAATTCTATCAAATCAGATATTACGGAGCTGGTCTCATTTAATGTCTGAATGGAAACCTTAAAAGTGGATTTCATTCACACACGCACATACACAAACCGTATTTTATCTTATGAAGATATATGCATCTAAAAACAAGTTTCAATGCTACCGTTGACCAATCGATAAATTGAGAAAGTATTAGACTCTAATTTAATTATATTTTAAAATAAAAATGATGAACATTCACCATAATGGAACACTGTAGGTGTGTTGATTAATAGATTGCTTAGATGGGAACAGATGAAACCAACAAGCAAATTATAGTAGAGCAAGTGAGGAGAAGATCAATATAAACTCTTGGCGGATTTCATTGCTACCTTTCATAAAGAATGAAAGGACGAAGTTTAAATCTTTTTTGTGATGTGTGTACTGATATACCTCACTTAAAATAGTAAATAAGGTTTGTGGTTTAGATAGGTTTTTTAGCAGAGTTTTATTCTTCAAGTTTAATAGCTTCCTCGTGATACTGAAATAGCCTGATGTCGAAGATATTTGTGAAGGTATAGTTGTTTTTTAGTGGTGTCCTGTACACAACACTAGACTTTTTATTCCATTCATAATGAAAGTGAAAACTAGAAAAAATACTTTATTTTTTAGTTACTGAATTAAAATATTACCTTTTAATGATAATAACTAATAACATCAGTGTAATGGAAAATTATCTGTTTGAAGTGCAAATAAAAGGATTTAAATTGAAGCTACAGGTAAGAAAAAGAAAACTTACATTGATATCATTCATATGACGGCAACAAGAATAAGGAACTCCACAAGACTCAGGGCTTATATTGGATTTGTTACATGAAAAGTATCGATTATCTGTCCAGTCAAGATATGACTTAGGTCCACAACAAGTAAACTGTTACAAGCAAGATAAAAGTAAATAAATGTAGATATATATTACATCATGATATAGAAAAAAGGAAGAAAATACATTTTCAAATATTTATTTGGCAAGTAGTGTACACTAAGTTGACGTGATTATTCAGTAATATAGAGCTGAAAAACATCATAAAAATTACTAACATGTTTGGCAAGAATGTAGACAGACATTATGTTTGTAGGATCAACTGATTACCTCCTATAATTTAGGCCTTTTATGTGGCTGCAAATACGTCAGACGAATGTTTTGCAACATCTGATTGAAGTAAAATGATAATGTTGCGACAACAAATAGAAGCGCCATTTACGATACTGTTGTTCCTCAAATGCCATGTTACGGCCAAGAACGGGAAGAGTTCACTCTCCTAGAACTGCTCTCATAGGGTCACATATATATAGCTACTGCTAGGAAAGTCTTACTCACTGACGTCTCGAGGTGGAGATGTCGTTTACGGAATTGAGGAGACGAACAGCATGTGTTTGGTGCTTTAACCGGGCACGCGGATGCGGAAGACCCACCTAGGGAAGTCGTAAAACCTAGATCCCAAACTAATCGTGCATCTGCTATCCAGGGTCCTGAGGGGACATTTGACATATGAATCTATTCCTAGTAACTGGCTACCGTGGCGCTGTATCTTCCAACGTTGCTCCACTGCCTTTTGGATTAGGTCTCTGGGTCAAAGGCGCGGGGAGTGCCCCCTAAGGAAACCACCTGCTTCGGTTTGCGGACCTGGGAAGTACCTCTGCCTACACACAAATGAAGCTATTTGAGACGTCACATATCTTTCGGTGACCCTTTGTATCAACGTGTTTAAATTAAATGAATACGATTTTATCGTATTAAGTTGTTAGCGCTATTATTTGTATACGAGTGTATTTCGTTTATACGTGATTTCACTTCAAGAAACAGTCTTCCCAAATATCTCATGGAGACACAAATATGGGATATTTATTAAAAAGTGAAGTGATTCGGAATAACTTAGTACATATATGAGTAAATGATATTTTACTGAACTGTAACAAAATGTCGCTTCATGTTTCGAAACCTCAAGTACTAATAAAAACCGAGAATAAATATTCCCAGTCTTTCAGAGTTACAACAAATCGATCAATGTATAACCTGATTCAAACACATTCTATATTGACACAAATGAACGAAATCAACAAGAGGCAAAAAAATAATTTGAATTAATCGACACTGAAATTGGTGGAAAAAGCAAAACAAAATACTGTGTTTAAAACTTCGAGCAAGAAAGAGGAGGGACGGTAAACAGAAAATCATCTTACATGCACCACACTGTGTAACTTCATATAGCCGGAAAGGGATATAAGTATTAGTGAAGAGTTTTTTTGATACATCATCCATCAAGAGTGATGAAACTATAAGATTAATGCACTTGGATAATTTGATTATAATTCTAAAACTGAACAGATGCATATCAGCTGTCATGGGATACGGGTGTTTGAAGGGAATGAAACGTTTTTTACCGAAATTTCCCAGTGTTTCTGTCAAACAGAACTGCTGTTTGTGCACCACAAGTTGACTAAAGTCTCCAGAGGACGGGTTGACTTGTAGGAAGTCAAACGGAGTTAATCAGCCACGATTATTTAAGACAGCAGTTTACTATAGGTTCAATATAAACGAAGACCTTTTTGTCAGATGTACATGTTTTTATGACATTCCCCATAGGAAGATTTTTGGATTAGAAGTGCAGACAAGAAACACACTTATAGTCGCATACTGGCAAATATACTTGATGGAAGATAAATACATGGTCCATAGACCCACAGTCATACCTTGAATCAACACGGTTTTCTATGGCTTGCTGTTTCCGTGTTGGTTAAGTATTATACAGTACTGAAATGATTAAGAATCAGAACCAGTTAGATGGAACCAAACCAAACTTCCAAACTCCATATGATGGTTAGTGGATCTAATTACGTATTTTGAGCCAGGATTCTTCAAAACAGTTGGAGAAAACCCGACAGAACTTAAGGGGAAAATAGCTATATTCCCCCCTCCACATTCCCTAGGGTTTGGATGTTTGAATCTCTTGCTCAGTCAGTTGGTGAATAGTGGGCGAACTGAAGGGAAGGAAAAATGCAGCTGATTTTTTCTACTCAGTATGAATGAAAACAAACGGTATTAATTTCTCAACGACAGTTGCTCCAGTTTCTGACCTCTAAGTGTGGGTCTTCTTGGAAAATCCCATAAGCTATCTGCTACTATTTATCCCTGAAGCTTTTTATTCACCTGATTTCATTACCCATGACTGAGAGATTTAAAGTAGGTAGAAAAATAAAAGTTCTAACCTTATATTTGAAACAAGCATCAAGGAGAAACTTGAGAAACAAAAGATAAACACTCAAAGGATTACATGACTTAAAATCAAGTAGGCAAATACGCATATCAAGTTTGAGAAAATATAGTCAATCACACCATCCTGGTAAAGAATATAAAAAATTTAATAAATGTATTAGTACAACATAGTTTCAAATACCTTTTGTTGAATAAAGTCCATAAAGTTTGTTGTATCTTCAAATCCAAGTTCTCTATATTGAGTAACAAAAGCAGTTTTGATCAGTTCCTCAAGCTTGCGGATAGCTGATTCACGGTACACAAAGGACAATACACAGAGGATAACTTCTGTTAGAAAAAGCAACGTTAAAATGCTGTAATACTACAGTAAAACAAGATATAATTATTGAGTAGGAATTCTTACAAATTTTAGCAGACAATTGTTTTCACGTAAAGACCCAATAAAACCAGCCAGTGAAACGAATAAGGTTATGATTCCAACACCCATACAGATTACGGTAAAGTTGAAAAGCCACTGTAAAGCGGTAATGTTAGATGTCCATTGTATACCTCCTGAGTCGATAAACGCGATTACACCAAATACAAGGAGCATTGCTCCCACAACCTGAAAAAAAACATGATTTGCAGAGAGACATGAATTTAGTTTTCAGGAGTGCTATAGACATGTGAAAATGTCAATTTAGATGAGTATTGATAAAATATAATCCGCCATATTAAAAACAGCTTAGCAATTAAAGCTCCCATACGATGTGTAATACGGTTGAAATATTTACTTCTAAATACTGAAAGTAAGATGAGAAAACAATTCTATTTAAACCTATACATTCCGGTTCTATTAAATTTTTCATGCGATACTTGAGAGTCCCAAAGGCCTGAAATAGTAAAGTGGATCAGAACAATTTGTCGACTTTAATATGCAGCACGAGAAAACTAAGAACATTCCGATAATAAACAATTCATTTCTCAGATCAGATGTTTATTAAAAGGTGACTCATATTCTAATTTCATGAATTCGATCAATAGCTTGGGGTGAAATTCTGATTTGCACTAACCGAATTAGAACTAAATAAATACATATATCAAATGTATACTATTTTTCGTTATATAATATGATTTACTCATATTTAAGTAAGGTGATCAAGGCTATTTCGCCTTACACCTTCTTATCATATTTGGGCTTAATATACAGATGCATAAAAATCACTTACTAAGAAAATGAAGTTTGCCAAGCATAGGGAATACTTTACCCAGTGGTTGATATAAGAAATTCTGCCTCCAAATCGTCGATGATACTTTTGACCCATGTGTACAACAGTAATTTATCAAACAGGGCAATATTTGGGATCTGTAAGTACAAAGAAGTTTGCAATAGATAAATCGGTTTTGTAACCAAGAAACAAATGCAAAGCCGACAGCGAATTGAACAATATTTACAAGTAAAAGAACTTTCAGTGTTTATAACCATCATCGTGAGTAACCATGGACCTAGTATGGGTATGGAGATACTTATGTATTCAAATATCTCAGTTGTACAGAAGTGAGGGGTTAGACATATAAGATCATTGGTAAGTTTACACAAAGCATTTTGGCGAAGAATCTAATTGGTAACTACGAAGCAAATTAAGTTGGAGTAAACTTAGGCTGGTGCCTTTAGGGGAAGATTGTGAGACTATAGCTTGCAGACGACCTGACAAACTAAATCAGCATTGCGAAACTAAACACTTATGGTCGAAAGTTATAAATTGGTGTAAGAAATTATGAAGTTTTACCTCCTTTTGTCTTGAAATTCGTGTTTATAAGGGGTCTATTTGTGATTTCAACAGACATTGATGTGTAGATCTAAGTACCATTTTCAACAGAAATATTATTCATTCTATTTATTGATTCCAGTAGAAATAAGTTATTGAAAATACAAGTGGCACGTTATTAGATGTTACAAACCAAACGTTATAAGCCGTTAGCGACTGCACAACTAGCTAGGCAGCTTCATTTAGGTAACCTTGGAATATTGAAGCTCGCCGCAGAGTATAAGTTCCAATATCCAATAGCTAGAGTAAATCGATTGATTTCTTCGCGCTCGATTCTTGTTTTTTCGGTACAGTTCGAGTTAGTTGATAGTTTCCAATCTATGGTATTCCAGCCTTTCGACTGTACCTGGAACCGTACCAAAAGAACAAGAATCGAGCGCAAAGAAATCAATTGGCTTATAGTAGCCCGTGAAAAAGATATCGGAGATATTGGATATTGGTACTCTACTTAGTTGGCAGTTATTTTGTATGCGCCGTGATCTGAGTTGGCGCGTTTGTTTTTAGCGCACTAAGGTTTTTCGATCCCAGCGGCTACCATACTACCATGCCAGAAATCAGTTAGTTGCAATACGGAAAATAAGAAAGGAAATTTTCATGCTAATGTGAAGTAGATATCAGAACTAAGTAAATTAATGAATAAATACATAATCGTTTTAAGCAACTTGTTTGAAAATCCGACAACGGCTGTTTTTGCAGAGGTGCCCCAGGTGATGAGACAATCTACCAAGTGCCTCCATAGCAACGTAAGAGGACTAAGGGGCAAGCTGATAGAAATCAGGAATATGTGCTTTCAGATGGATATGAAGATCATAATCTCAACTGAAGCATGGCTACCCCCTAACACTGCAGACGGCGAAGTGGGCTTGCATGGCATGACACTCTTCCGAAGGGATAGGGTACACCAAACAGGAGGTAGAGTAGCTATATATATAAACAGCCACTTAAAAGCCGAGTGGCTGCACGACACCCAACTAAACGAGGTGACAGAATCATGTTGTTGCTTTTTCCACACAAACTGCACGAAAAACTTGAATGGAGGGATTTCCCGTCCTCCCTCCGGCACTAATGCCCAGAAACACAGACTGACTGAGGCTATACCGCAGCTGCCACTCCTGGGGTTTGATCAAGTACTCTTAGCTGGAGATTTCAATACCCCATCTCTAAATCTCAGCAATCACAGTATAAATCCCACTGATTGGTTCCAAAGACAACTTGGTACAGCCATTAGAAGCTCTGGACTGACTGAGAACGTATGCAGTGCCACTAGATGGACTAAGGAAGGAAAGTCCTCAAACCTGGATTATCTGTTAACAAATGACCAGCTCCTGGTTGAGGATGTTCACGTCCGTGCATCAACAGGAAGTGTTGACCGCGGAACAGTCTTGTTTTACATGCTCAATAATGAAACACTCACACAGGACGAAAACAAACCCTATCTTTGCTACACTGAGGCAAATTATAGACGTATGAGAATGATCCTCCTGCATGCCCAATGGCCACGGGAGTGGGAGAGGCTGACAGTAGATGATCACTGGCAAACAGCGAAAGACATTGTCCAGTATTCTGTTCGTAACAATGTACCTCAGTCACACATCACACCCGGAAATAGAAGAATATAGGTGAGGCGCGTCACTGAAAGCTTTCTACAGGCGAATAGGAGAGCCTCGCACAAGTGGAAGGTGTCCTTGAAGGATTCCGATCATAGTTATTATTTGGCACTGAGAGACAGATGCAATTCCAAAGTTGGAAGCGATAGTAGATGCTTTCAAATGAAGCTATCTGCTAAAATACAGGCAAACTCTAGGCACCTATTTAGGTTCATGACTATATTAATAATAATATATTTATTCTCAAATAATTACGTTACAAGAGTCACGCCAGTTTACAGGCTAGATCAAATTGTCACAAATGCTTTCACAATTACTGTAAAAGATATAGCAGTTAAATTAAGTATAAGAGTCATTTTCTGATTGCATATTTACACCATGTCACTGACAGAAACAGTATAATACAGCCACATTTTCAATAGTGGAGTACAAATAAGGAAGGTGCACATTAGGTTCTTTTGGCGATTTGCCAAGATCAATAGTGAATTTGTTGGGAAAGGTCATATGGAACGCGCTTGATACGAGCTGAGATCCAGACAGTCATGTACATAGGGTGCATGTTCCCTAGAGTCGCCAAGGATTTCCCACTGTGGATAGGGTTCTGAAAACGAGAAAAGAGAGAGAAAAAGGCAGCAGTGTGGCAAGTGTATATATATGACTAAAGCACTACTTAACCTGTCATGTTGAAGTAGCCAATAAAGTAGTAAGTCAAAATAAAATTCATGCTGACCACTTAAATTAAAGTAAATTATGTGAATATAAGAATATAACCAACAGATAAAGGAGTACAGCAAGAAAGAAGGAAGAGTTGTGCAGTGTCAGGTGGATAGAAGAGAAGTTGAAGTAAGAAGCTGGATTTATATGCGTTGAAATCGGAAGAGTAGAGTTTGTAAAAAGAAAACATAGATGAATAAAATTTCGCACTGTCTAACTGTTTTTTTTATTATTATTATTATTGAATGCCAACCTCTAAGTCATACTGTAAGCGCCTGAGTAAGAATGTTGCGGGTGTCTCGACAGAATAGCGACCTCGGCATAGTTTTGAAAACATGAACCACAGAAGTAGCAAGCGTATAAGAGCAACCTCAGTGTTTCTGATTAATCGTCTAATCAATCTAAATAGCCGAAAGCGAATAAAATGTTCTGCCCCACAAACATGGGTGGTTTGAAGTCATCGCCCACACCATCAATGTTTGCTGGTCAGTAACTCCACCCTCCCTCCTTTTGTGTTGTTGGGCTCATGTGAAATGTTTAAAAGAAACTATTTTGTGTTCTACTTGGTGCTCTATGTATCACATCCTGTTGAGAAACACTATTTCTGCAAGTCCCTTTCACAAACTTGTCTGACTGTTACAACTTATGAACTATTGGTTAGGCATCAATGCTTTAAGAAAACCTACGAATCAGGTTTCATGTTCTCTCAAAGATCCGAATAGGGGAAGACCTCACCAACCTAGAGATGGCTGAGATCTTCAAAAAAACTTAATTAATTATAATAATAATTTATTCTCAAATAACGAACATGTTACAAGAGACATGCCAATTTACAGGCAAGATCAAAATGTTAAGATTAGCAACATATTTCTTTTAAAACGGTATACAGTTACTGAAACATTTCACAAGATTCATTGTATTCTTAAAGATGGAATGTACAATGCGAATAATTGGCGCAAGTTACGAAGGTTGCGTTACGACAGTCATCTTATGGACTGAGAAACGATTCATGGTAGAGACAGGTTTTCATATAACAAGAATTGATGCGGTAAATGTACAAAGGTCTGGTTGATACTCATCAGCTAATGATTTCACATGTTCTTGGGTAGGGTAACCAAGTCTACTGCAAATATCCAGACTAATATATGAGGATTGGAATAAGGTTCTGTAAAAAGAGGAATAAAGAAAACGGGACGAGGAGCGGAACAGAAAATATTCTTGTTCAAAGCCGAACAACGGCTTCGCACATACGTTTATGGATAAAACAAAGGTATGTTTACTCAGACTTTTTTAATATCATAATAAAAACTGTACACCTGCACTCATGTAGGTTTATGAAGACAATTCAGTAGTGAGATAACTAATGGGAAGAAGAAACATAGGCCAGTCTCATTAGGGTCCGAAAAATTTTTAAGAACAGAGGTTTCTGAATCGAAGAAGTCCTACAGGAAGGTTAGCGTAGTTATTCTTGCGGCAGCCTTCAAAACGTGCTGCAAAATATTGGATACATATGCGCACTGTCATGGCCAAAGATTGAGATTCGTTGTTATATATCAAGACTGAGAAACAAAAAAATAAATTAGTTTGTTTCCTTACACTTAAGATATTGGATACTGTCAATCACTTTCTCTTGTTTAAGTTAATACTACTGACGTCAATCGTCAGTTCCGCTTTCTTGGTTTCATTGTAGTCTGTTTCTAGTGGAGACCTGTCGTCGCGGGTTCGCTAAGGAGTAATATGAATCGGGTAAGTGGGATGTTTATACTAAAATCACTCCTGGAGCCTATGAGGTCTATTTTCTCGAAAAACTCGTAGTTGATTTTGGTAAATAGTGCGCCTCAGTGAGTCAGTGTATAGTAAAGGTTCTAAACTGTTATGACACACGGACTACTCATATCTTGAGAAACCCCTCACCAAAAGTTACTAATAGAAGCCAGGATTGTCATGATTAAATCTCGATAACAGTTTTGGGTGGAGTAGTTATGTATTGTATTACGTTGATTTGGTAATCTAGGTTGTATCAAACCTCGGAGTCCTTTCTGCTTTTTTGCCAGCAACAGTATGTGGCCCGTTGATTTTTTTAGTGACATTGGTTCCACTAAGGATGTCAGATAAAATCAGTATAGTCACTGGTTTTAATCCCCATCCAGGTCGTGTTGCGGTTTCTTGGCTTGGTGGATGATGCTTAGTAATCACAAGATTGACATGTGATTAAGCTAAATGTCAACGGAATTTGCATGTCACCATCGAGGGATTTCATGTGTCTTGGACTATCAGTACCACTATCAGTTATTGTCTAAGTCTGTAAACACATCCATCTGTGGTTGCTTACTAGTGAGTGTCGCTTAAGTCGCTAATTGCAACTAAGAGCGTTATAGGGATTCAGGTGGTAAAAAATTGAGATGTTTCTGCACTAAACAGGACAATTTATGAGATGCCAACTGACCAGATTTGTAGTGAGCTGTTTTAAGGACAGCCTTTCGACCGTTTACTTAATAGTATTTGTTTCTATATATATGGCGATGTACTTTAGTAACCATATATCAACTGTCTTTTGTGGTTTAAAAATTTACAAATTAGTTGAGTTTCTGATGCTGGCATTGTCATCGTGCTCGTAAATTGACAAACAGATTCAACACCTAACTCCGTACGTATGTACATCAGTTCAGGTTTCCATACCGCATTAGCAAATAGATGCAACTCATTTCTAATTCCATAGAGGTAGAGATAGAAGTATTAGCAGCGATGGAGATTCAGTGGGATGAAGGTAGAGAGAGAAAAAGATGTTGAGGAATTCAGAGAGTTAGAATTCGAAAGAACATCAGGGGGATGCAACTGCGCCATTGCAAACGATATTGAGCCGTGTCGTTCAAGGTCTCTATCCATTGGCATAAATTGACTGAAATCCTTGTTTCAATTAATGATGTGAAATGAAGGCTTTGCAATTATTTCCAATG